AGTCCATGGAAGCTTCTAACTTGAGAAATGCTTATAGGTCATGGCCACTCTTCAATGGCTTTAACCTTCTCTTTTTCAACCTCCAAACCTTCAGAACTCACAACAAAACCTAGGAAAACAACTCTGTCAACACAAAATGTACATTTTTTTGTAAATTAGCAAACAATTTTTCCTTCCTCAAAACAAGTAAAACTGACCTCAAATGTTAAATATGTTCTTCCATGGTTTTACCATATATTAGAATGTAGTCAAAATAAACCACACAAAACTTACCCAAGAATGGCCTAAGAACATGATTAATTAACCTCATAAATGTGATTGGCGCATTAGTTAAGCCAAAATGCATAACCAACCACTCATAAAGACCTTGCTTCATTTTGAATGATGTTTTACACTCATCACCTTCTCGTATTCGTATTTGGTGGTAACCACTCTTAAGATCAATCTTGGAAAAAAGGTTAGAATCGCTAAGCTCATCTAACATGTCATCTAAGTGAGGAATAGGGTGACAATACTTTACCGTAATTTTGTTTACCACTCGACAATCCACACACATGCGCCAAGTTCCATCCTTCTTTGGCACAAGTAGAACCGGCACGACACATGGGCTAAGGCTTTCCCTCACGTAGCCTTTTGCCATCAACTCAGATACTTGCCTTTGTAATTCCTTAGTTTTTTCGGGGTTGCTTCGGTATGCTGGTCGGTTTGGAATGATGGCACCACGAACAAAGTCTATTTAATGTTCTATGCCACGAATAGGTGGCAACCCACTTGGTATTTCTTCCGGAAATAGGTCATCAAACTCCTGTAATAAAGACACAACAAAAGCAGGCAAATTTTGATCAAGGTAGTTAGTGTTCAAAAAAAATTCCTTGTACATGAGCACAAGTGCTTCCTTTGTCGTCATTAAACACTTTTTCAACTCTCTCTCTTTAGAAAGAATGATAATTTTCCTCCCCTCATTTTGATCACACTCTATTGCTTTTACCTCCATTTTGGTCTCTCTCTCTTTGGCTTTTTCAAATTTTCCTCTCAATTTAATTTGGTCTTCATGTATTTGCTTTGGTGAAAGTGGAGCTAAAGTGATCTTCCTTGCCTCATGGGTGAATGTATACCGTTTGGTATAATCGTCATAGATCACTAGCCTATCAAATTCCCAAGGCCTTCCAAGTAGTAAATGGCTTGCGTATATTGGTACGATATCACATAACACCTCATCTTTGTACTTCCCTATGGAGAAAGCAATTCGAACTTGCTTGGTCACCTTGAGTTCTCCTCCATCATTGAGCCATTGCAATTTATAAGGTTGTGGATGCTTTATTGTTGCCAAGCCAAGTGTATCTACCATTAAGGTACTAGCAACATTTGTGCAACTACCTCCATCAATAATAACAAAGCATACCTTTCCTCCAACGTGGCAGCGAGTGTGGAAGATATTTTCACATTGCTTATCTCCTCCATTGGATTGCACGTTTAGGCTCCTTTTGACAACAAGGACCTCTCCTTCCACGACATGCTCTAATTCTTCCATATCAATGGTAGCATCTTCATTCTCATCATCTTCTTGTTCCGATTCAACTTCTCCATCATCTCGAAGAAGCATGGTGTTGCGATTTGGACATTGGCTTGCAATGTGTCCATGCCCCAAACACTTAAAACATTGTATGTCACGAGAACGATTTGGAGTGGCAGTAGTCTTACCCTTGCTGGTTTCGGCAATGGGCTTACTTCCTTTGGGCGGTCCTCCTCTTTCATGGGATGACAATGGAGGAGTCTTCTTGTATGAACTTTGCCCCCATTTTGAAGTTGTACTCCCATAAGATCGTGTGGCACCCTTCCTTTTGAGTTATTTTTCCACCTTTATGGCCATATGCACCATGTCTTCCATCTCCACATAATGTTGCAAGTCAACCACGTTCGCAATGCCTGGATTAAGTCCCGCTAGGAATCTTGCCATTGTGGATTCTCGATCCTCATCGATGTTGGCTCGAATCATGGTCACCTCCATCTCTTTGTGATAATCTTCAACACTTCGGTTACCTTGTTAAAGGGTTTGAAGACGGTTGAATAACTCTCGATGGTAGTGGGTTGAAATGAATCGTCTTCGCATCACTGCTTTTATTTCATCCCATGTAGTGATAGGATGTTCTCCATTGCATCTCTTACTTGATGTCAATTGATCCCACCATATTAGTGCATAATCCATAAACTCAAGGGCAGCGAGTTTTACCTTCTTGAGTTTGGAATAATCATGGCACCCGAAAATGTGCTCTACCTTCTTTTCCCATGCTAGGTAAGCCTCAGGATCCGTCTTGCCTTGGAATGGTGGAATGTAAATCTTGATATTAATAAGATTATCATCCATTATTGGAAAAAACCTTGGGGGCCTTATACCTCGATTTCCTATTCTTTATTGTGATGCACGATCTTCTTCTGGTCTTTCAACTTCTTCATTTTCTCCTTGAATGACATCTTCTTGCTCTCGAAATCCTTGAGTACGTTCCTCTTCAATACAGTCAATACGTTCATGGAGAGGTTACAACTCTTCCCTCAAAATCCTTATCAATTCACGTACCATGGCTTGCATTTGTAGGTTTGGTTCAACGGTACCTGTAACTTGAGAATTGTCTCCCAAATGATGAGACATAATTAGTAAAAAAATAACCTCACAAAATAAAAAACCTCACCAAACACTCAAAGAAAAGTCACTCCCACTCGTGTTTCACTCGGGATGGCTTTTACCCTTAATGATCACTCTTTCCTTTTACCACTCGTGCTTTGATTTCAAGTCCTTTTGGGAACTTTCTCAAGGCTTATAAGGTCTAGTGGACTTCGGATGAAACAATTATGGTTTGGTAGTAATGATAGTGAAAGGAAATTGGCTACAAGGAAAAGAGATGATAAGTAAAGGTAAAAATTGAATAATTGAATATAAAGATGAAGAAAATATTTTTTTCTTTAAAGATGAAAAGAATTACTCCCTCCCTCTTTAAACTTTTTTTCTCCCTTTCGTTTTTTCTTTTTTATTTTTTTACTAACCCCGAAGAGAAGAAACGATACGCTTACTGAATCGACTAGCTCTGATGCCAAATGATATGATCCCGATTATGTGTTTCGAGTCATATATATGAATGCTCGATCGTGATTCTAGTAAGAAACCGCGTAATGATAGCTTGAACTATGAAATTGCATAAATATAAACATAAGAAGGAACTGATATGAAATAATAATTGAAATGATGGAATGAAAATAATGAGGAAGTTGTTTGAAGGTGATGGAAGAGTGATGGTTGTTGTGGTTTAATGATAATGAAAATAGATGGTGAAGTTAATGGCGTTGTCGTGGTAAATGATGTTGTCGTGGTAAGTGTTGTAAGGATAAAGGGGATTGTGACCCGTTAGCTATTTGGAGCTAATAACCAACAATATAAAAAAATGGAATAGAAATGGTAGGGTATGGAACGTGGCCCACTAACTATATATGAGCTAGGAACCAACGCTATAACAAAAGGAAATGGATGAAGACTACAAGACTATCTTGAAGCCGATAAAGTTCTACAGGAGAACAAGAATGAAAGAAACCTCTCAAAGATGTTTTATATATTCAAAAATGTGTCTACAAATGATCCCAAAGGTGCCTATTTATAGTATTTCTAAGAAGCATATGAAAAGACTCAAAAGATGAAAACATTCTCATCAATTTAGCAGTAAAATGCACTTGAATGCTTTGTCTTCTTATCTTCAAAGTTGGATGAATATTCTAGATCATTTTGGGGATGAATCTAGACAATTTGAAGCTGAATTTGTCCTTAATTTCGTCCAAGGGGAGGAAGACTCTTGTTATTCCATGCTGAAAATTGTCTTGATAAGTGAATTTCATTGCATGCTCCCTTGAAGAATATGAACAGCCCTTGAACTTAGATGATAACAATCAGCTTTGAATGCCTTTAATAGGTGAATTAAGAGTCCTTCAATGGCATGTCACTTGGCTGAAGTTGAAAAGACTCTCCCTTGGCTCAAACTCATCCAAATCATCCATGCATAAAATTCCCGTAACAAAATTCCAGACTGCACTGTCTTCAATAAATCGATCATATCTCAAGCTCCTGATATCGGATTAAGGTGATTCAAAAGGCGTTGGAAAGCTAAGAGATAGAGGAATAATGTCAAATTGATTTCTAGAACCAAAAGAATATGTATCGCATCCAGAATTGGAAGATCTTCTGACTAACATTCTTGCATATGATGAAACCATTCAACTTCTCTCATGCACCTAGACACAAAAGTGAACTTTATTCAATATTTAATTGAAAACATGCATGAAACAATTAAGAGTTAATCTAATAAATGAACTAATTTGATGGATGAACTAGATGATTTAAATGCAATGCATGCTTGAATGAACATCACACTTATTAAATGCAATGAATGTTATGCTAACTTTAAATTCTCATGCAAATTCATGTATAAGAAAAGTAAAGTGTTCCTCCCTTATTATTCATTCTTCATCACGTTCTAAACATGATGTGAACATACTCTCCATGGTTGCTTGAAACTCCTTGGCCCTTGCTCGTGTGATGGGGCCACTTGGATACTTATCCGAATCTTTGCTATTGGCGATCATATCAGTTTTCTTTTAAAAAATTATTATAATTATATATATTTTTTAAATAATAGGTCGAGAAAGAACTTTTTTTTAAGTGGTTGATTTAAAAAGAAAAATAGATAAAAAAAAAATGAACAGCCATAAGTGACAGGAAGCATTTGCAAATATAAAGCTGTCGGAAACGAAGAAAAACAAAGAAAAAAACGTTCATGAATTTTGTAATGTAACACGTATGTCCATAATGTTTGCGATGTAACGTAAAGATCAATAATTTTAGCAATAAACGACAAGAAGAACGTTCAGAAAATTTCCAAGCACGTATCCATCCAAAATTGATTTTTTTTTTACTTATAAATTTCACCTTCTTCTTTCTCTGACTCAAGCCTCAAAAAGCGTGCAAAAATAACAAAAGGCTTTCTCTTTATTTCTCGATGAAAAATGTGAGGCTCATTTCACTCAGAAAAGGCTAGCTTTCTTCCTCACAGCTGATCTTGGTTGAAATCTGGGTTTGTTTTCTTTTTCTTTTTACGGAGAAATGGGGCAACTTTGTTGGGTTTATTTAGTGCTGATGTCACTTGCTTTTGGGTTGGGATCGAAGACTTTGAGTCAAGAGGATCCACATTCAGATGTTTACATTGTTACTCTTAAGCAAGCTCCTTCAGCTCATTACTTTGAGGAGGAAGTAAGAAAACATAAGGGGTTCAACAATGGCTCTACTTCATACAGATTAAGCAGTCTTTACAAACCAAGGCATGTACTTTTTACCCTTAATTTGTAGATATTTGTGTAGTGTAAATCTGTATCTTAATCAGGTAGTTTGCTTTTCATTTGTGTTCAACAATGGCCTTTGAAAAATGGGAGAATGCTTCAGCTTCTCCGTGTTGATACTTGGAATTCATAAATATCAAATGCAAGCTTTTGAATGCTTGTGCAGGAACAATTCCAGATCTCATCAGAGGTGGAGTTATATTTCCAAAATTCATGATTCTTTGTTGAGGAGTGCTTTGGGTGGGGAGAAATATCTTAAGTTATATAGTTACCACTACTTGATTAATGGCTTTTCAGTGCTTATTACTCTTCAACAGGTATATTATTCTTCATAATTATCTATCATTTTTTTCATGTTTTCGTCAGCATTGTGAGGCTAAATGATTTGGAAATTTCTTGTAATTGAGAAATAATGTTGTTAATTAGCTCTATTATTCTATTTCCAAGGCGGACAAGCTTTCCAGGAGAAGAGAAGTTGCAAATGTTGTGTTGGACTTTTCTGTTAAAACTGCAACCACATATACTCCAGAGTTCTTAGGTCTAACAAAGGGTGCATGGCCACAGGAAGGCGGATATGGGACTGCTGGAGAGGGGATTGTGATCGGGTTTATTGATACTGGTATCGATCCTACTCACTCCAGCTTTGCCGATGATGTATCAGATCATCCGTACCCTGTTCCAAACCATTTTTCTGGCGTTTGTGAGGTGACTCGGGACTTTCCTTCCGGATCATGCAATAGGAAGCTTGTTGGAGCACGCCATTTTGCAGCATCTGCTATAACAAAAGGAATATTCAATTCATCTCAGGACTACGCATCACCCTTTGATGGGGATGGACATGGCACGTGAGTGGATATTTACTGGTTTTTATTGTTCTTGTGAAATGTGGACTCATGTTTCTGTAATGTTGAATAATCTGCAATATGCTCCAGACACTTGTTTACGGGGTGGCCTGATATTATCGGTGGTGATTCAGTTAATCTTCTAATGTTTGACGGTGAATATATATAAATGCAGGCACACGGCTTCAGTTGCTGCAGGAAACCATGGGATTCCATTGGTGGTAGCTGGGAACTACTTTGGAAATGCTAGTGGGATGGCTCCTCGTGCACAGTAAGTTCCCGAAACTGAGTTTCGATTTCCATCTTCTTTTATAAATATGAATCTTCTTTATAGAAGCAAATGTTCAAACCTATAGTTATCTCAAACGAGCCACCTCTTTAGCCAAACTATCAATCTTTAGAGGTTAAAATAACATTAGGTTATTATTAGAAATGATCATAGAATCAAACATATAGAAGTCATTTTTATATGATTATACTAATGATATTGCAATATTTTCCAGTATTGCTGTTTACAAAGCTTTATATAAGAGCTTTGGAGGATTTGCCGCAGATGTAGTTGCTGCCATAGATCAGGTACGCCATCATCTCGGTTGCCATATTGGCAAAATTGTTTCTCTCACATGACAGCTGCATGCAAGGTATTGTGTGAAATTTTAGTTGGAAGAAAGAAATCTTCTTGGATTGGATTTTCTTGTGACTAAAGCAGAACATATTTATCAATTCATAAGAATTAAGAATGGAGATGGCACCTTTTATTTTCTTACAACCATTGATTCGTTGTCTATAATTAATTACTTGATCGTCATACATTTGCCAGGCTGCACAAGATGGGGTTGACATAATAAGCTTATCAATAACTCCCAACAGGCGTCCACCTGGTATTGCAACGTTTTTCAATCCCATTGACATGGCATTGCTGTCAGCTGTAAAGTCTGGTATTTTCGTTGTCCAAGCTGCTGGCAATACTGGACCATCACCTAAGAGCATGTCTTCTTTCAGTCCGTGGATTTTAACTGTTGGCTCTGCATCTCATGACAGAGTGTATGCTAACTCTATCGTCCTCGGAAACAATGTAACTATCCCTGGAGTTGGACTTGCACGTAGGTTTACCTCTCAAATCTATCGCCTTTATTCATACGAGATTATCTGGTGGCTTATGAGTTTTTGGTTTTTTATATATGCTTGAAAGTTAACGTGCACGGTATGTGTTGCTCGGGTTGATCGTTGTTACTCTCACTCCTTAAACTTATATTTATTGGTTCGGTTCTTATATACCAAAACTTTGGTGTTGTAGATTTTATTCCAAACACCCATTATTACTAAAAAAAGGAAATATAATAATTTGGTTTCTTTGTTTATTTGGCAGCGGGTACAGATACGGATAAAATGTATACACTAATTTCTGCAGTTCATGCTCTAAGCAATGAAGCTACACTTGCCATCGATATGTATGTGAGTGAATGCCAAGACTCCAGTAACTTTGATGGGGAACTTATCCAAGGAAACCTGTTAATATGTAGCTATTCAATCCGGTTTGTGCTTGGACTCTCCACAGTCAAGCAGGCCTTACAAACTGCGAAAAACCTTAGTGCAGCTGGAGTTGTGTTCTACATGGATCCTTTTGTAATCGGTTTTCAGCTTAATCCAACACCACTGAATATGCCTGGCATCATAATTCCTTCATCAAATGACTCCAAGGTTTGATTATGTATTTTCCTTTTCATGATAATATTTGTGAATTACTTGTTCTTAATATCTTCTTTCTTTGTTTTTATGAATAGATTTTACTACAATATTACAATTCTTCTCTGGAAAGAGATGGGTCTACCGGGAACATTATTAGGTTCGGGGCAGTTGCAAGCATTTCTGGTGGACTGAAAGCAAACTACAGCATTTCGGCTCCGAAGGTTATGTTTTATTCTGCCCGAGGACCAGATCCTGAAGACAGTTTCCTAGACGCGGACATAATGAAACCAAACTTGGTTGCCCCTGGTAATTCTATATGGGCCGCCTGGAGTTCTCTTGGCACAGATTCAGTTGAATTCCAAGGTAATAGTTAAAGAAATGATAGATAACTCAGATTATGATATATCAGCTGCATTGTTATTAAAATCTTTAACTTGACATTTTAGGTGAAAGCTTCGCTATGATGTCCGGCACAAGCATGGCAGCTCCTCATATTGCCGGTCTTGGAGCACTGATAAAGCAGAAGTTTCCTCATTTCAATCCTGCAGCCATTGCTTCGGCACTTTCTACAACGGCTTCTCTTTACGACAAAAATGGCGGTCCAATAATGGCTCAGCGTGCTTATGCCAATCCTGATATAAACCAGTCTCCGGCGACACCATTTGACATGGGGAGTGGCTTCGTAAATGCAACTTCGGCTCTTGATCCGGGCCTAATCTTCGATACCAGTAAGCCAATTTGAGCAAATGAAACTTATTATAACCGTTCTATAAACTTATAGCATCTCATTCTAATCCCATCAAGTTCTTGTTGCAGCATATGAGGAATATATGTCTTTTCTTTGCGGCATTAATGGTTCAAGTCCTGCGGTCTTGAATTACACCGGTCAAAGCTGTCAGCTCTATAACTCTACCGTCACTGCTGTCGACCTGAACCTGCCATCAATCACCATTGCAAAACTGAACCAGTCTAACACAGTTGAAAGATCGGTGACTAACATTGCTGGAAACGAGACATACAAAGTCAGTTGGACCACTCCTTCCGGAGTTTCGATGAAGGTCACTCCAATGTGTTTCTTCATTAGCACAGGGGAGAAACAAGTCATAACCATAACCTTTAATGCAACGACGAACGACTCCGTCCCCAGCTTCGGGCGGATCGGACTTTTAGGAGATGGAGGTCATAACCTCAACATACCATTATCAGTCATTGTAAAGTTTTCCTACAATATGACTAATGGCCGAGGATTGAGATAGATAGTTGCTTTATAATCTGCCTTTTGCCTTAGCTTATGGCTTGACCATCAACCGAGTTTATTTCATTCATTGCCCTGTAAATGAAATCATTTTGTAATCAAAATTGATTAAATATCCGCCTATGCGTTATTCCGAATCTTAATTTTTCGTGTCTTGCACATTTTTAGCTATCTGTACAGAGATATGATCTTTTTAAGGACATCTAAGATATGGATAAACCAAAAAAGTTGAAAATTCGTATGGATAAATCCTGGTTGTAATGGAGGAAGCTTAGGAGCAGCAAATTGAATCACATGTTAACTTTCCAAGTTTAGTATGTGATGTTGAATCTTGGCTCATATTCTTTTTATTCAACATGTCGGTGAAGCTGTAATAAATCATTGCCTTACAGAACCACAACGGACGATTTACCAGGCTACATATGCAAGGGGGGGGGGGAGTTCAAGTTTTTCCGGCCATGCCATTGGGGTTTTGAGGTTTGTATGGAAATCAAATATAATATTTATGACTTGGGAGTTTCTAGATATAAGCCTAAGAACTAACCAACACCCTTTAATGGGCTAAGACTCACGGTTTTATGTATTGCAGGATTGGATGAAGGATCCTGTTGCCATTGTGGTTTTGCTTTTGTCAATGTTCACAGGTTGCAAAGTTCAAGGTGAAGTTTCAGCTGAGGCTCTTAAGATGATACATGCAAAAGGAGGCTGCATTTGTGCTTTATTATGTTACTCTAAAACCGTCCTTTTCTCCCTTTTCAAAGCATGAAATTTTGTGTAGTTGAACATTTTGTGCCAACAGATTTCGAGGTCATTGATTTATCATGCTGGTTCAAATCCCAACATTTGCTACTTCTACTTCTAAAAAATACTGGCAATCACAATGCCTGCTTGTGCCGAACTCTGCCATACGGAACCGGAAGTGGATCGGCCATTAAAAGAATCAGCATGAGATTCCAATAACCAAAGCTGAATAACTACTCCCAATAAGAATCAACTACCAGAACTAACTTTATATTTTTTCAGATGTGCTGTTCATTGACATGTTTTACAGATCTCCTCTGTCAATGTTTCATATGCTACTCGGCATTCGGCACTTTGTGCATCGCTGCTGAGTATCCTACGCATCGTTTTTAACTATTCGGGACTTGCCTTCTTGAAAAGTCTCTTAGAACTACCTCTACTTCTTCATCAACAGAATGTTGGCTGGGATCATCTTGATCTTGCTTTCTCAAATAAACACCAAAATGTTTTGCTTTTGAATCGCTCACTGAGCAACTCAATCTAATCGAGTACTTTTTAACTTCATTGTTAACACGAGTGGTCTTGTTCCAGTACTCCAAGCATTGATGATTTGGATCAAGAGCTTCAATTGCCTGGAGCAAGAGATAAAAAACCGAATTTAGACATCACGACTAAATTTGATAAAGGAAAACAGCAATGCTCTTGTTTTATTAGACAAATTCATGCTTGCATGAATGTATGCTCTATGCAAACTTTCCATACTTTCAGTCCTATGGCCTTTACCATGTTCGAATACATTTGACAATATCAAAAAAAGTTAGATAATTGCTGATTGTTTTGAATAAAGTACAATGGAAGTGGCATGCTACTATGTTTTTCCATCTCTTCATATATAGTTATATGTCTGACATGGGTATGTTCGATTTTTTACAATGGAAGTGGCATGCTACTATGTTCTTCCATCTCTTCAGATATAGTTATATGTATGACATGGGTATGTTCGATTTTTTTACAAAGTTTTCAATATATTTGGAGGTTTCTTGAAAGGTCATATCTTCCAACTCATGTTGAAATGTGTTGAACATGGGTATTCCAAGAAAAAGGAAGAGAAAGGAACATTTCTGTTTATGATCATTCATCATATTTGCTAAGTCATATTCCACATAATGATGATAACCATGCGGATCATATTTGGTTATATCAGGCATTTTAATCAGATATTTGTTAGCTAAGAAATGTTTCCAGTTTATAAAGGCAGCAATACCTGAACTATTGGTGGTGAGAAAAATCCAAACATTTCGAGCCCATTGATGCTCTGAGGCAATTGCAAAGGAAGCAGCCCACTTTCCCCCAGGTTTCTCCTCTTCAGAATTTCTTGATTTAGTTGCTGTAGCACCATTTACCAACATTTGTCTGCCGACATGTTTGAGAATGTTATGGAAGGGCAGCCTTCTAAGGTAACCTGAAATATAAAATAGAGATGTGAGGTTAAACTCATTGACACATCTCCATTGACCAATCATTTGTCGTTAGAAATCTCTCTCCAAGCAAATCTTTATACCTAAATTAGTAGAAAAACAAGAGGTAATCTCACCTTAAATAGAGGTCCAAGGAGCCCAATATTTAAGACTTCAGAAATGTAGCTAGAAATCTCTGTTGGGTTGAGCACATTAAAGTACTCGACTCGGCTTGTAAAACCTGTAAAAGTGAAGCATGAATGCAAATTTGTAAAATGCATCTACCAGGAAGAAAGAAAATGTGAATTTTAAATAGAACGAAATTGGATCCAATTCCACTTTTACGTACCTTTTGGGAATATGGCCTGGCTACTGCACAATAGTTTTCCAAATATGACAGATCCAAATTTTATAGGTTCAACAGAAGGATTCGACAACGGATGACATTGGCCAGATGCAATTACATCTGAGCTGTTAACTGTTGCTGCCTTCAATAAGGTATTTGATTGTCCTGCATTGATATGCGGAAACTGAAGCTCAATGCCAAACAATTTATTGCCCTCAAAGCCATCAGAATCCTGATGACCCATTGAAATTGAATGCTGATACTTGTTGAAATATTCACGAGAAACCGATGAGCTACAATCACTCTCGAGTCTCTTTAGAACAGGTTCGCTTACTTCATCGAATCCACAAATTTTCTCTCGTGAAAATGTTTCAACATCAGTAACACTGTTGTTATTGGAGTTATCAGAATCACATGATGACTTCCTTGCTGGGTAATCGGACATAAGATCAAGATTTAAGTCAATACAGGTGTCCTGCTCAGAGTTCGTTCTCCTTTCCACGACAACTCCATCATTTAAGACCTTGTTATGAGTATCCACGGTGACATGGGGGGATTTTAATTTAGGCTGGCACTCTGACGGCAATACTTCTGAAGAAAAAAGTCCATGTGAGCAAGGAGCATTAATATTCACCATTTCTCCCACTCTAGAGGAACGAGAGAAACTTTCCCTTACTTGATCAGGTTCAGTTTTTAATACCTCACCATCCTCAACCAAGTTAGACGCATAAGCATTGCAATTGTTATCAGAAACCAACCCAAGATCTCTGGATGTCCATAGTTTGTCAGCATCTAATCCACCTTCCAGGGTTTTGACTAGAATTTGCAATTCATCAGCGGTATAGCGAAGCAGGACAAATTTGTCTTCAACTTAGCATGAGCAGAAATCTTTACATGTTTCAGACAAGCAAATCGTTTGGGATTGCATTTGCAGCTGCAGGCAGATAAATGCAAGTCATAGAAACAAGAGAAACATTCTCTCTCACTTTCCAAATCAAAGTCTTTTTCCATCTTTCGTACAGGAATATGAGGTGGAAGGCAATTTACTCTTTCCTCTTCCATCTGCTTTCTCATCTGTTCACTGTGATAATTAGCATATATTAGTGCACATAATGACACAAGTTTTTCACTTCTCATGTGAATATTTATAATTTACACAAGTTTTCTTAGAGGAAGAAAGAGAAGACTCTACCCTAACTGCCTCTGTAAGCATCCCGTCCTTCCACCTCAAGTTTCCTGGAGTTTCTTTGCCAAGAACATATAACTCCCTGAGAGCTTGGATGGCTTGCCATGCTGATCCAAGGAGCAGCTTGTCATGGGACAGTGACATCTTGCGATGGTGCTCACTGTAGATCTCAACTGCAAGTTGGCCATATTTTAGCCAATACTGTCGTTTTGAATGTCTAATAAATTCTTTTTTCTCAATTAATAAATAAGGAAATACGTAGTATAGAGAAATAAGGGTCGAATCCTCAGGGACTTAGAAAATCATAATTTTATGTTTGAATAGCTCTGACTAGGCGAAAATAGTAAAAAAATGGGTTTTGTAATATGAGATTTAAATAGTAAAAAAAACTATTAAATAAATAAAATCAATTAAAGTAAAAATAAGAGGGTAAAGATTGTGAATAAATACGGTAAAAATAGCCTCAAGCTTCGCTTTGACTCAATTTCCTTTAGATCATCGAATAAGATTTTCCCTCAGGGATTCACATCGGTTACTTTGTCTACAAGGGCTATCCCCGTGACTCTATCTTGTATACCGAATACCCAAGGCAATCTTTGATTCCAGCTTCGGAAATTGATTCTATCAACATCAATTGTCGTAGATCAATTACCGTTTAAGTTCGTGGCGGCCGACTCAGATTGTTGCTTCCATAACCGTCAATTCCGATCTCAATTCCCTCTTGGCGAAGCTATCTCGCCAAGTGTGTTCCCAGGAAGTTGAATGTGCTTTCTATAAGCCGAATCTTCCTCCTACACATTTAATCGCAACAACCTCTAGACCAAAGTCAATCTTTGATTTTGAAAACTGTTTTGATTTTGAAAAGTAAGCACATAGATTGAGAGAGATATTCCGAAGATATTAAGGGCCTGTTTCAATTCTCCCGTTGGAATTGAGTCATCGCTTCATCTCTCGGCTTATGAAAAATTTAGCTAAGCATGACAAAACTCATACTTAGCATATTAAAAACAAAACTTGAAAATAAAAGAAAAATGAAAACTTGAAAAAGTAAAAAGAGAAAGCTTTAATAAAACTAGAGAGAAAAGAAGATTGTAATTTGAGTTGTGAGTTTAGGCTTACCCCAAGAGGGTATTTATAGCCTCTCAAAGCCTAAGGATAAACAAAGAAAATAAAATAAAATAATCCTAAAGATAATTATTTTTTTCTAAATTCAAACTTTAAACTAGTCTCCTAATGCAACTCTGGTCGTCCATCTTCCAAAAGGCGTGCTGAGGAGGTCTTCTAGAAATTGCCACTGACTGGACCTTCTAGAAACTACCACGTCAGACCGTGTTGTGCCCAAAGTCATGCCCATGTCTCCAGCTGTGACCAAATAATA